ACGCAGGCAGATCAGATCAGAGGGAGGCCGTGGGTCGATTCACGGGGAGGAAAACCGAGACTGCCCCCCCCCCCCACGCTTTATCGTGGCTTGTTTAACCACGACTGATCAGACGGCCCCATGCGATCTGCTTTGCCCCGTTGCCCTCCCTCACACACTCCTGTAAAATTTCAGCCTTCATTCTCCACAAATTCCGAATAGATAAGGCGGGATGAGTCAGAGGAGCTGAGGGGGGGGGGGCGGGCGAAGGGTTTGTGTGTGAGCGGCTTCCAGTTTAAAAAGAAGCGCCCCCACCCCCTTTTCAGGTGACCTCTACCCCAGTAAAAGAAAACCCGCGACAGGAGACTCCCGGATCCTACACGAGGGTGGTACGCCGACCGTCCCGGCCCGGATAAGAAGAGAAGTGGGCGCCGGGGTGGGGCTAGGAGGGAAGGAGCCGTGCAGGGGGCGGGAAAGCGATGAGGTCCCCGCCTCTCTTTGGGTTTTCCTCTCGTGCAGGTCGACGACTGCCGCTTCTCTCCGATCCCCTGGCAGGTAGGGCGTGCGCTTGCTTTCTCCTCTCCCCAATTGGAGGCGCCGCGGTTTCCCTCCCGGGTTCTTTCTGGGGCAGGCTTGGCTTTCTCCTTCCTTTCGAGGACTCCCTAAGAAGCGCGCTCCCGATCCGCAGCCGCCGCGCTTTTAGGGTAGGTTGCGATCCTGAAAGCGCGCCGAGGGAGCCGATCCCATGGGAGCGTGGAGGAACTTTGCCCGGGGCCAAGTGCAAAGATTTAAAAAGAAATTATTAAAAAAAAAAAAAAGAACCCGGGGACTTGCCGTGGGTTCCCCCCCCCCCCCCCTTCCGATTTTGAAAAGTAGCTTGCATGGTTTTTTTTTTTTTCGATTTAGGAGAATCTTTATAACTCAGAGGAAATCCCCCCAAAATTTACCTTTTCTTTATGTCTAGTATCTACAACCGATTTACCGGGACTGGGTGGGCGGGGAGAGGAAATACAACCAACCGACGGGATGTATTAATGACTGCTATTGTAAATGTTTTATTAAGTGGAAAAAACTGTATAGCGAGTATGTTTTACGTCTCCTTAATCCAAGTCTCCTTCGAAGTCCATTTTCCTGCTCGAATTTTCCTCGAAAGGAAAAAAAAAAAAAGGAAAAAGAATTGGCGGCGCGCAAAACTCCGAAGCGGCTTCCTTTCCCCTCTCCGCCCTTGGGCTGGAGGGAGGAGGAGCGCCATTTATCAACATTGGGGACAGGTGGCTCTTTCGAAAGAGCGAGCGAGGCCTTGGCTCGGAAAGTGGTGGTTGCTGGGCGTTTTCCACCTCGCCTGTGGAGAAACACAGTCGGATGGAAAACCACAGTCTTAACCTAACCTTCAGCAGAACGGTGCGGCAGGGAGGCAGAATGGAGTTTTACAACTGAGAGGAAGGAAGGAAGCTTCCAGCCCACTCCAGTTGAAAGAGGGTTTAAATAGAAAAAAAAAAAAAATGAAGTTCCCTAGCACTCTTGAAAGGCTAACAAATGCAATCCAGGGACTAAAGTGAACTTTCTCAGTTAGGGTGCTTTGCGTTATCCAGGATGATTGTGAAGGAGCCAATTGCGCAAGGGCAGAAACAAAATGCAAAGTGCAATTGTGGGATGCTCATCTGGAGTTTCAAGACATGGGAGAGTAAGTTCTTAAAGCAGCCGTGCAAACTTCCTGTTGGTGGTAATCCGTCTATCAGCTCTGGCAGGTTTCAGAGCTTCATTTTTAGACCACTACATCCTTTGTAAGCCTGTAGCCACCATTCAAGAAGCTGACTCCCCCCCCCCAACCCTGTGATGACTGCAAGCAACACTGATCTACATTGGGCCTCCTAGTTTAAAGTGAGATGTTGAGCTTTGAAACTTCTCAAAATTGGTAACCAGATGATTACCAGAATAATAAAAGTGTTGATCTGGTAAGTTGGTGCTAACTAGACATGGCATAATTGGCTCCAGATAATTAGGGGAAGAGGGTAGGGCCGTGATGGCAAACCTATGGCACCTGTGCCCGAGGTGGCACGCAGAGCCATCTTTCTGGGCATGCAAGCTGTCACCCAATTCACCTGCATGTGTGCATGCTCCAGCTGGTGTTTTGATGTCCGGTGCGCATGCACACAATTCAAGGGACCCAGCTGGTCTTTGGAGTTCTCCTGCACATGCGTGCGTGTTTGCGCATGCATGTGAGTACTTGTGCACAGCATGCGCATGTGTAGATGGTGTTCATGTGGATGCATTGCACGTGCCAAAACCGCACACATGGGCAGATGGTGTGGTTGCACGCGCAGCGCATGGGCGGGGGCATGTGCGAAAACCATGTGCATGCGCAGATGTGTAGTTGCATGCACAGTGCATGGGGAATTTGCTGCATGTTAGCACGGATAGCACGCAAAGCATGTACCTGTTCGGCACTCAGTGAGTAAAAGGTTCGCCACCACTGGGCTAGGGCAATCTTGCTTTGGGTCAAGACCTTGGTAGGAGAGATAGACTTAATGGAATGGCAGCAGGCATGTACATGTTGTGGGCATCTGACTGGCAAAGCTGTGGTGCTGAGAGCACCGGTTGAGAGGAAAAACAAGTTGCAGTGCTGGGTGCTGGTCTTGAGCCAGCAACATGGATCCAGTGGTGGCCTCCATGAGTCTGAGTCTTCCTGCCTTGAGTGGAAAGGAATGCTGGTGTTGAGTCATCATCATCATTGTTTTAGCCATTGTCTATCCACTGCAGGATGAAGACATCTCCGCACGTTTCTAACCAATACTGTCCTTAGCCCAATTGGGCTCGCAATACCTGCTGATGTGGTCGATCCATCTTGTTTTAGGTCTCTTTCGTGGACAGTGTTCATCAAGTAGGAGCCTTTCTATGACTGCCTTGGTCCACCTGCCATCAGTTCTTCTTGCTATGTGACCAGCCCATTTCCATCTCAATTCTTTTACTCTCTTGATGATATTGTATATTTTCATTTGTTCTCTAATCTATGTGTGGGTCTTTGTATCTTGTCTTGTAATGCCGACCATGTATCTTTCCATGGCTCATCCCTAGATTTTATATAGATTGTGAGATTAGTGTCCATGTTTCACCGGCATATGTTAGAGCAGGTAGCACAGAGTGATAAAAAACTTTTCAGGTATAGAGAGAGGTTGTTCTTGAAAACTATGCTAAACTTGCCAAATGCCGGCCAACCACAATTAATAAAACATTCAATTTTCCTTATTGTATCATCTTCCATTGAGATCCATTGGCCAAGGTATATGTGGTCTACTACATCTAGTTCGTCTACAGATATATTTAAAAAAAACTTTGGTGAATTTATTAAACATAACCTGAATAATGGTATAAACATGAAGAGGTATGGAAACAAAATGGGGATATTCTGAAACTTTTAAAGATGGAATGTGGGGAGAGAGGAACATTGGTTTAATAGGAGTAAGAGCCCCAGGAAAAGCTGGATCTGACTAGAGAAGCAGTGCTGCATTTCAAAGAGAGAGGCATAAAACTGAAATGAAAGCAGGCTGCTGTAACACCATCAAGACAATGAGCCAAAAAGGGCTTTATAAATTTGACAAGTGCTGTAGCATACAGAAGTATAAAATTAAAGTCTGAATCTTTAGGAAGGGATTATTGTCGCAACTTTTTTTATTCCCACTTGTTTGAGAACAGCAACATCAAAATGTCTCCTTAAATTAAATTTCACCCTGGGGAAAAGAAACTTAAGTGTTATCAGGAGTAGAATCTATGCGGAAGGACTGTGAGTTCCATGCAGTTTTATTTCCCCAAGCAGAATTCCTGCTGTTATGTCACTTCACACTTGTGTTCCACCACTGGCACTTTGTGCTGTGTATTTGGCAGGCAGGACAATGTTGAAGGATTTCTACGCATCTACAGCCTATCTCTTGGTATGTCCTTTAAATGCTTAATATAATTTAATGTAATTTTAGGATTAAAATTTGGGTGTGAAAAAGCTAATTATGTCTTTAGTTTCCATTTGTGTTCTTTTATTATGGTAGCTTGTAATCCTTTCTATATGTGCTTACTATGAGATGACTGTATTTATTTGTTTGCCACTCAGAATTGCCTTGAACTGCCAGATAGGTGGCAAATAATTTTGATAACAGAATTTTATGGAGATATGCTCAGAATGCAACTCAGGCCCATGGTAACCCAGAGTCACTTAATAGTGAGATGGCTGGAATACAAATTTAATAAATAAATAAATCTGTCAATTGACTATACTTAATGTTGTTTCTTTTAAAATCCAGAGGGTAATCCTAGCTTAAGGTAACTTTCTGCTGCTGCAAGAATACTTAAGTTAAAGCAGCTACTAAATAGGCAGAGTATATGATTCTGATTCAGGAATCGCCTGAAGTCGCTGTCTTTAATCTAATAGGTTGGTTGATGATAATCACAAGTGCTACATTTGTCCAGAATCTTACTTGTCCAATAGATAAAGCAAAGATGTAGAGCAGAGTAATAACTAGTTGAGTGTCTACTAGCAGTAGAAAGTCCAGCAGTCAAGAAATGTTCTAAAGTAACATGTTCTGTTTCTATTAGTCCTTAATGAATCCAAGCTCCTATTTGTTTACAAAAATAAAAACAAAATTGTCAGCACTCCTTCTTTTGATCCAAATCTGTATATAAGGTAAAAAGGAAGGTTTTACACCTGGTTAAACAGCATATCATCTTTCATATTCAAACGCTGGCACAATATGTTGCAGCTGTATACCAGTGTTTCTTTTTGAAGCTCTTCTGTTCAAATGAATCCTTTTTAAAATTAATAATAGAAGATTACAGGTGGCTGAAGTATTAAGAGTCTCTTTTGTTACAAATAATTGGTTTTCTTACTTTGGGTTTCTTTTCTGACAGAAGACTGGCCAATGTAATATTACACTTGATTTCTGCAAGATTTGTGTTATGATCAATGCCATCTTTAAAAACTTTTTTTCCTTTACCCTAGCATTCTTTATGATAATCCTAGATGGAACTTGAAACCATCATCGCATCTGATAGCTCATTTAAGTGGCTCCATCCATATTCGGCCTGAAAACTGATTAAAAACAGACTCTACAGCTTGAAAATCAGATACTCTTAATTTTGATTTTTTTTATCCATCTTGCCTGTTGAACAGCTTTAAAGAAATCTACAGTTTATACATTTTTTCATGGCTTTTGGATTAGCCTAACTCAGTTTATTATGTTATTGATTTGTTAAGTTTATTTCCCATCATCTCTGGGTTTCCATTCCTACAACAGCCATGTTGTGAATTAAGCTGAGTTGAGACAGAATAATTAGCCCAAAGGTGAGTTTGTGTAGCTAAGGATACTCTTGATTTGGTCTTCCTGATCCTAGACCAACTACCTGGTATATCACTCTGGTTGGTTGTCTGTCTTCTCTATTTCTGTTATTTTTCTTTTTTCCTCTTCCTCTGATGTTTCTACTGGTATTTATGATTTCTTTCCTAGAATTAATCATATACCTACCAATGTGTGTGTATATATATATTTCTTTTCTTTTCTTTTCATAGGCCTTTATGTGTATTTCTCTTTAGCCAGGTTCTTCCTACGTAAACCAAGATTTTTATGCAGCCCTAGTTCAGTGAAATCCCAATCCACTAGTTTTTAGGCTTTTTTTCTTCAGGCAGCCAGCAAGCATCCTGCTGCCCATTGGGAGACTAAGGAGACTAAGAAGAACCTGGCTAAAGAGAAATACACATAAAGGCCTACGAAAAGAAAACAAATACTGTACCTTTACAGGGAGGATACATGGGATGAAGGTGTGGCTAACTGATGAGGGCTTATAAATCCAAAATAGATCTATCTTAGTCTCCCAATGGGAAGCAGGATGCTTGCTGGCTGCCTGAAGAAAAAAAGTCTAGAAACTAGTGGATTGGGATTTCACTGAACTAGGGCCGCATAAAAATCTTGGTTTACGTAGGAAGAACCTGGCTAAAGAGAAATACATATATATATTTATATAAACATATGATAACAATGTTCCAATATTTGAGAGGCTGCCACAAAGAAGAGAGGGTGAACCTATTTTCCAAAGCCCCAGAAGGCAAGACAAGAACCAATGGCTGGAAACTAATCAAGGAGAGAAGCAACCAAGAACTAAGGAGAAATTTTGAAACACTGATAAGAATCAACCAGTAGAATAGCTTGCTTCCAGAATTTGTAGGTGCTCCATCTCTGGAGGCTTTTAAAAAGAGACTGGTATAGGCTCTCTTGCTTGAGCAGGGGGTTGGACTAGATGACTTCCAAGTTCCTTTCCAACTCCGTTTTTCTATGTTCCATATCTATGTTCTATAATGCAAGTGAGATGGTATTTGGAGTAAGAAGAGATACCTAGGACTTCGTTCTGTCTTCCATATATACAGGCTGACAACATAGAAGTTAGCGATGGAGATTCAGGAAAGAGCTTCAGCCAAGTTCAGAGGCCTGTTTTTTGAATGAAACTTATTGTGTTTGTTTTCTATACATCACATATTATAACAGCTTTTCTGCAGCTCCTAACTGTAATGGCGTTACCAGCAGTGGCTAAACATGTTCTTTTTGAGCCCAAGAGGTTAATGTTTTACCAGTTAATTTTCTTTTTTCCAGAGGACAAGCAATTTCATGTGGTTGTATGCCCCCCCCCCATATCTTTTATTTTAAGCATTGTCATCTGAAATCTCATCAGTTTTTTGAAGTCATTCACATAGAAATACATGTGCACGCACACACACACACTGAGGATTCCACAGCAGCCATCTAGGGATTTGCAAAAGTTTTGTCCCCACCTTTGAAAATCACATTGCCGACTCCTAAGGCACATGAATGAATTATTCATATTAACTGGTACTTGCACTTAAGACCAATGAATGTTCAGTGCAGCTACTCATTAAAGCAGAATGGGCAGAAGGATGATTACTACTCTCTTTCAGTGATGCCCAAGTCCTTATAAGTCAAGTTAGTTGCTAAATTTTAGCATCAAAAAGTGACCAAAGTCTTTTAACTCCATCTGATATATTTCTCAATGAATTTGCACCAGAGAAACAGAATTTCTTTTTTAAGTTGTTGAGTTGCTTCTGCTCAATGATTCTACTTGGGATATAATAGAACAGCTCTGTCTTTTAACAAATGCTTTATCTGTTTATGAAACAGATACAGTACTGTATACATGTACTAAGACTCTCACTACAAGTAGCTATTACACGGGTTGTAGTTCTGTATGTAGTGATTTGTGCTCAAATGCTATACTGATTAAAGCAGGATGCATGTATATATATATATATATATATACAAATTGAGTTTCTCAAGAATTGACTAAGCTCTCTATTTAAAACAGGTTTCCACTGTAACTTCTTCAAAAGTAGCTGGTTCTCTGGTGTTATGAGAATATGTAACTTGAAAGCTTGAGCATATTTTGCTGACATTGGTAAAATAATGTAATGCACTTTTGGGTTTTGTGGCTAATTTCTCATCACTGACCATGTAACTCAAGGGTATTTTACATGTAGACCTAGACTTCAAAGTTAACATAAATATATCTACTTGTCACTTTATAAAAAGTAAATTAACTCCCTGTCCATAATAATTTAGGGTCTTTTCAGATGAGATAATTTGCTGTATTGGGACACCATTATGATACTAGACAACTTTCAAACATTTTGAAAGGAGGTTTTTTCCCCCCCAACATACCAGTTAAGGATACTGGGAGTATTACTGTAACTCTGAGAGGCAGTATGGCAGGGCCTGGTGCGCTGTAAGGTCCATGGGGTTGCAAAGAATTGGACACAACTTAGTGAATGAACAACAAGTCAAGGATATGTATAATGTCATTCATTTTTTTAAACCAAATTAATTGTTGCATCTCTGCTAAAATTGCTTGTAATATTATCTCTTTATTATCCACTTATTTTTATTAACTTGATTCGTAAGGAAGTTATGTGTGTCAAAAGTATAAATCTCTTTGCATTAAGAAGTGATGCTAGTATTGAGAGAATTGCGCTAGGGCAGGGATCTGCAACCATAAGCACTCAAAGAGCCATTTGGACCCATTTCTCACAGAAAAGAAAACACCGGGAGCCACAAAACCTGGGTGGGCTGGCCAACTCGATATCACTCACTTCCACCAGTCACATGACCCCCCCCAGCCACGCCTACCTAGCCGGTCATTAGGGCAGAGAACCGGTTGTTAAAAAACACCAGGAGCCACAAAAACCTTTTGACATATCTATCTCTCCCCTCCCTCCCTCACCCCTCTCCCCCCCCCTCTCTCTGTATCTGTCTCTCTCTCCCCCCCCCCACCCTCTCTGTATCTCTCTGTCTTTGCCCTGGCCACTTCTCCATCCCCTACCATCACCCTTCTCAGGCAAGGAGTGACTGGGAGGGAAGGGCGAGGGGTGGGGCCAGCCAGTGGTGGGATCACCCAACAGAGAGCTACAGCAGAGAGTCCAAAGAGCCGCATGTGGCTCTGGAGCCACAGGTTGCTGACCCCTGCACTAGGGAGATCAGATGCTGACTATTTAGGGGGGTCTTGATAAACCTGTGAATCCTAGGAAGTGTAATGCCTGTTACTATCATGGCACAATTACTTTGCCTCCCATAGAAGACGTGCTCTTGAAGGACACAATGCACCTGGATCTTGACATCCATTCAAAAAATAGTTTTAGACTTCTCAGAAGGATCCATTTTTTACTTAATCTCTTCCAGATCTTGGAAACCTGGCATCTCCAACTTTCTAGACCCTAAACCATGCTTGTCTGAATGCTTGCCTGTGAACGCCTAAAGATAGTAAGCAGTTTGGTGTTTTCCTGGCACTGTGCCTCTTTTTCTAAGTTGTTGTGAAAAGAATAGTTGTGTAACGGGAAAAGAAGGGGTAGGGAGGTTTTTTTAAAGAAGCTGTATGAGTTACCCATTTGGACTCTGCACTGTTCCAAACAGGTCTCCTAAATAAGGCTGTAGGTAACAGGTTTCAAGCTTTCTGGGAACAAAAGATACTGTTGTGCTGCAGCACAATTGCCTTCTCTGTTTTTTGTTTTGGTGTTCTATCTTTCTTTCCTGTAGTTTTTGGCAGACTTGTTTCTGCTAAAATTCTCTTCTCTTTTTTCAGTTTGTAAGAAGTAATTATCCTGCCATTGCAGGATGGTCAAAGTGAGCTAAGTTTCCTTAATAAGGTGGTGTCAGTGGAAGCGTTGATTGTTATCTCATTCTAGCTGAGCATCTGGCATGGGCTTCAATGGTGAGGGTGTCAGATAAGCTCCACAGGCGAGAATGGGGGGTGCAGAGTAATCCTGCTCAAGACTGGATTGCTCCCATGGGGAAGAGAGCTTTGAAGGCTGCCAACATGGAAAGTCTCAAAGGGGGGATCTGTGACTTGGGTACATAATTTACGATTGTGGTTCCCCACCCCAAGACTCTTAGGACGAACAAGTGTGCCTTTGAAACACTACCTTTTGAAGAAGCTCCCTGTATTGTTTTCCATTTTTTATGAGAGATCTATCCTCCAGATTGACCCTGGAATGAATGCATAGCAGTGTTCACAAAGCCATCCAATCTGCAGTGTCTTGTCTCATGTACACACAGACTTGTTTGCAGGAATTCTCTAGAGCACTTTTCCCAGGGTAAGCTCTTTGTCTGGCATCCGGGTGTATTTTGGGGGGAACCATAGTATGATAGCTTGCAGAGAACAAGGAATGTAACAAAACTCCCATCTTTCCTTGCTATTACAAATTCAGGATCAATTCTAAGTGGAAAATAAAAAAGGAAGAAAAGCTTCTAATAGATGATAGTTTTAGTTTTTCCCCCCTTTGGCAATAGCTCTTTTTTCTTCAGCCATTCTTTGAGGAAAAAAGAATCAGAAAAGTATTATCACGAATATTAGTGCACAAAAGCTGGCTCTTCTCTTTACAGGACAGGTTATACTGTAGAACTTTTTTTTCCCCCATATCAAGAGACACATGCCATCAGGAATAATCTGTTGATAGATCTTGGTCAACAGTTGGAAAGGGGTAAAGTAAGAAATGGATCAGCAGAACAAGACAAGCTGTGTGCCATAGGTCAGCAATTGATGGCTTGAAATGTAGGTATGTTTCAAGCTTAGGGAGGCTTAATTCATAACACTGGAGAACAGAAAAATTATAGAAAGTAAGAAAATCACATGTTGCGATGAATATTTATGGGACTTTTCTCAAGTTCCACACATCTATTGAGCAATGAAGGGCTTCCATTTGCATGGATTTAATGACATGGGTAATATCCTTTGATCTTGTGAAGAATGACTATGGAAGCCCTGTAAATTGACTTCCTAGTCCTGTGG